ACATACACTAAATTCCTTGAGAAGCCTCCTCAAATTATAGTTTCAAACAAGACATCTCCATCACCACTACTCATTTATCAGAAGAGAGATGGGGGGGGGGTAAGCCTTCTTAGTAATGTCTGAGATGTAACTTGAGAGTCACCAAAATGGTGTATATGACTAATAGCTAAGGCAGCTCACTGCTGAGTCCCTTATGGAGGCCACAGCCTCACTCAGGTGTGTCTTTACTTTCTGCTTCTCTTCCTACATGTCCTCACTTAAGTAAGACTGACGCTCGCCCAGTCCTCATGTGTAATCCTACGTTAAATACCTTTAATAAAAATCCCCATCTCTCCTTCAGACTGGCTAGTCCTGAAATGCTTTTCCTCTTTAAAGCCACAAATCTCAGTTTGGCATAAGTTGAGGTTGGCAAAAGATTAAGAGAATCTTCAGGCTGACGAAGGTGACACCTTGGAGCTGAGTCTCTGTCTCTTCTCCGAACTGACATAATAACTTAGCCAGCCTTTTCACGGATTATCTTTTCAAAGACCCTGTCTCCAATAAGGTCACATTCTCAGGTTCTGGGGCTAAGAGTTCAACACATGACTAATAGATCTGAAGGTACCAGACATGCTACAGCACCCCAAGTCAGACAGAAGCCATTGGCACCTCCTCCAGGATGCCCTCTGGTTAATCATTTCTTCAGTAATGAGAAGCCCTAGGCTCCCTAGGTGGATGGGGTTGTAGAATATTAGTTTAAGATGTGCTACATTTGTTTATGCTGTGGAATGTAGGCAGATTTTTCTATCCCTCCTGTCTGTTCCCAAATAACCACATGGAGACTTCTTATTAATTTTGATAGCTTAGGCTTGTTTCTAACTAACTCCTATAACTTAAATGAACCCATTTCTTTTAGTTTACTTTATGCCTCATGGCTTTATTAACTTTACTCTGCCCATGTTGTTTTCCTGCTTCCTCTGTGTCTGGCTGGCAACTCCTCAAGACTCCTCCCTTCTTCTTCCCAGAGTTCTCTCTGCCCTGAAAGTTCGGCCTAGCTATTGACCATTTAGCTTTTTACTAGACCAATCACAGTGAAATGTCTTCACACAGTGTAAAGAAATATTCCACAACAGTGGAACATTTGTGTAATGATGCAAAGATGTGTTGCAGTCTTTTATGTTGCATTTGTTTAATTCTGTGAAGCTGTGTTACTTTGCCTGTCTAAAACACCTGATTGGTCTAATAAACAGCTGAACAGCCAATAGCAAGGCAGAAGGGAAATAGGTGGGGCTGGCAGGCAGGGAGAATAAATAGGAGAAGAACTTGAAAAAAAGGAGAGGAACAAGAAGAGAAGGAGAGGAAGACCTCAGAGCTGGCCACCCAGCTACACAGCCAGCCACAGAGTAAGAAGTAAAGAAAGGTATAGAGAATAGAGCAAGATAAAAGCCCAGAGGCAAAAGACAGATGGGATAATTTAAGAAAAACTGGCTAACCAGGTGGTGGTGCACGCCTTTAATCCCAGCACTCAGGAGGCAGAGGCAGGCGGATCTCTGTGAGTTCGAGGCCAGCCTGGTCTACACAGTGAGTTCCAGGACAGCCAGGACTGTTTCACAGAGAAACCCTGTCTCAGAAAGATTTAAAAAAAAAGAAAGAAAGAAAGAAAGAAAAGAAAGAAAAAAAAGAGAAGAGAAAAGAAAAGCTGGCTAGAAGCAAGGCAAGCTAAGGCCGGACGTTCTTAAGAAAGAATAAGTAAGTTTCTGTGTATTTATTTGGGAGCTGGGTGGCAGCCTCCAAAGAGCCAAAAGAGTAAAAGAACAACAACTACAGAATGGGGCAGTGGAAATCCCAGCCAGTCACCGCCTTTCCTGCAGCTCAGCCTGGTCTGCCTAGTGGCTCCCTGTGAGGGGGTGCCCTGGGCTCAGGGACCTACCCACCACCACATGGTCAACCAGAGAGACCAGGACTGTGTCCAAGTCCAGCCTCAGATGTCAGAGCAGCCAGGCTCTGGTTTCTTTCTGCCTTCTGTCTCTTTATGCTGCCTCAGAATCTAATACCCAGGACCAGGAAGATTGTTCCCGGGCCTCCCTCCAAGTCTCACCACCCCAGACTTCCCACATCCACTTTTTAGCCTGAGGCTGTGATGTTTGTTTGTTTGTTTGTTTTTTTGGTTTTTCGAGACAGGGTTTCTCTGTGTAGCTTTGCGCCTTTCCTGGAACTCACTTGGTAGCCCAGGCTGGCCTCGAACTCACAGAGATCCGCCTGGCTCTGCCTCCCGAGTGCTGGGATTAAAGGCGTGCGCCACCACCGCCCAGCCGGCTGTTTGTTTTTATTTTGTTGTTGTTGGTTGGGATTTTTTTTGTTTTTTTTTTAAACATTCTTTTCAACAAAGTAGAATATTAAATTTATTTATATTTTAAAAATTTATTTCATTTTATGTGAGTGTTTTGCCTGCGAGTGTGTATGTGTACCCTGTGTGTGCATGGTACCTGCAGAGGTCAGAAGGGAGAACAGATCCTCTGGAACTGGAGTTAAGGATGTTGTGAACCATCATGTGGGGGCTGATGATGGAACCCAGGACCTCTGCAGGTGCCCTTAACGGCTGAGCTACCTCTCCAGCCCCAATTTGTTTACTTTTTATGTATATGGGTGTTCTGCCTACATGTATGTCTGCGCATTCCTGGTGCCATATCCTCTGGAACAGGCATTACAGTTGACTGTGAGCCACCATGTGGGTGCTGGGAACCCGGCTGAGTCCGCTGGAAGAACAGACCGTGCTCTCAACTGCGGAGCCATCTCTTCAGTTCCAAGTTGGTTGGTTTTTGAAGCATGGTCTTAGGTAACCCAGCGGGCTATGTCCTTGAGGATGACCTTGAGTTCCTCTCCTGTTTTCATCTCTCAAGTGCTGGGATTACAGGATGTGCCATCACACCAAGAAACGTGTGATATTTCTTTTACTTTTCCACGCGGCTTTCCCCTGGAAAAGTCAGTAAAATCCCAATGGAAAAGTCCCGGCCTAGTCTCAGAGAAGCCCTGGGCACGAGGGCCGTCAAACCGAGGTCAGAAGAAGGCCACGTAGGGGGCACTTGAGAGAGGGAGGCGCAGCTAACACACTAACCGAAGTTCAACCTGGCTCCCCACGACCTTGGGAGAGGCATATCTGTCTCTGAGCCTTAGTTTACTCTTCGGTAAAATGGAATTATTGCTGAAATGAAGTGAGTTCTAGGTAGGTAAGAGCAGGAAGGACCCTCCACCAGATGTTGGTCTGTCTTGGGTCAATTTTGCCCAGAATGCTAAGGGGTCCAGACTGGAGTCCAGTCTAAGACTAAGGAGTCGGAGTTCACCCTCTGCCCCTGGTGGCTGCCGGTCATAGCGGGGGCGGGGGTTTGATTGTGTCCCACTCTCTCTGATGCCAGTTTGGGGCCAATTTTCCATGGTGCCGATGGCGACCTAAATGCACCAGACGGTGCCGTCTGCTGTTTCCGTAGTGACCCCGACGGGCGCTAGGGGGAGCCGCAGGGCGATTTCAGGCCTCCAGCGAGCTGAGGCGGGGCTGGGCTGGGCTTTTGAGTGGGTGTGGCATCCGCTCTGGCCCCACCCAGGCTCTTTCCCACAGCTTGGAGAGGGGTGGGCGGAGGTCCGGCCCTCCACGGACCCCCAGCTCCACGGACCCCCAGCTCCTCGGACCTCCAGAGTGGGTCATCACTCAGGCGCTACCCTGGTAGATCGCTGACATAGCTTGGGCTTGGGTCTCCGGAGACCCTCTCTAAGGGCTCTGGATTTGTCTTCTGCGGGACCCTGTTTAATCAGGCACAATCCCGCCCTGGAGGGAGGTGGCGTCATCCCATGGCTCTGTTCTGCTCTGCTTCCGAAGTGGGCAGCACTTCCTCCCAAAGGTCAGCCCCGGACTATCCCCACACTCCCTCCCTATTTCCCATCTCCCTGCCCTTGCTCAAAACCAGCTCTGGGACCCACAGGAAGGGCTGGCGACAGAAAGGTTCTACAAAAACAGCAACACTTCTAAACTGTGACGCTGGGTAAGGCCCAAGGAGACATCCTGGGCACTGGACCCAGAGCGCCCACGGTTTTAAATTTAAAGCAGAACCCTAGGCAAACTTCCGCACCTCCTCTCCCCTCTGGCGTTTGGGGGTCAGGCTATTTTTAGAAGGAGGGCGGGCTGGAGAAATTGCTTTATTCATTCTGGAGGTTAGCGAAGAGGCCAGGAAAGAACAGAAGGCCTGTGTCTCCCACAGCCGGTCCAGCTCACCCAGGGTGGGGCCTGGGCCTGGGGGGCTTTGTTGAGCTAACATTCATGGAAACTTCCTAGTGGCTAGACCCTGAACTTCCTCAGGCCTGGCTCAGGCTTGGCCAAGGAACGGCAGCACAACTAATGAGGGGGCCCTAGACATGGTCAGCTTTCTGCTCCCCAAGCCAGCCCTGACTAGGTACCATAGCTCCCCTCCTGCAGGGACACAGCCAAGATAGTTTGTCCATGTATGGTTGTGGAGGGCCAAGACCATGGTTCAAGGGAGGAGGAGGTGCTTGCCCACCATAGCCCTCGCCAAAACTAGTCCATGGCACCTCATTTTGCACCTGAATTTCCTCATCTGCAAAATAGGCCTTTTGCTGGAATTCATGAGGTCCGGGCTGGAAGACCTGTCACCCTAGAGACCATCCTTGCGCCCTAATGTACCCGGATGAAGGGCACAAGAGGGTGTCTAGTCTCCAGGAGATCTCCAGCAGAGGTAGGAGGCCACCAGGAAGAGCGGCCATAGGCAGTCTAGCTGAGGAAGAGGAGAGAGAGGGTCCCTAGGCAGAGGCAGTAGAAAAGCCCACTCTGTAGCTCTGAAGAGACCCGCCCTGGAGCCTCTGGCTCTGCTCAGCCCCTCCCAGTCCAAGTACCAAGCACCCAACGTGCTTACCCATCCAACACTCTGACTTGCTCAGCCTAGGTTCTTAGACAAGATTAGAATGTCACTGGTCAAGCCAAAATTGTCCTCAGCACTTCAAGTACCCACCAAGGGTGCCCATGGCCACCGGGAAGTGTGCCTTTATTTCTGCTTCAAATCACTGGACAAAGAGGGGTATACTCCAGATCTGGACCATGGAACACAAAGGCAGGGACTGAGGTCCTGGCCACACTTGGCCAGACAGGAAGCTTGGTGAGTCCTGGTGGGCCCAGTCTTTTCTGTCAATCAGCCAGTCGTCGTGGGATCAAGGCCCTCTCGGGGGTCAGAGAGCGGAGCTTGCCATGCCCTTCTCTGTTACTGGACAGGGAATGCCTGGTGCCCAGAGCTGACGCCCTCGATGCCATCGTGATCTGCTGCCTTCCCTGGCGCTCCTGGTGGACTGGAGGAAGGAACTGCAAAAAAATATACACAAAAGCCTCTACAGTGGTGGGGCGCTGTAGCTGGACTGGTCCTAGGGGTCTAAGGTAAGTCTCTGGCAGACATCTGGGTGGGGCAGCCCCTTCTTCCCAAGAGCTGACGGGAAGGAAGAGGTGATGATACACTTGTTTTAGGGAAAGAGAGAAGGAGGGTGAAGCCCACCTCTGGGAGCAGAAGCAACCCTCGTCCCACCTGGCCCTCTACTTCAGGGGAAAGTATGGCAGAGAGAAGGGTAGACCCAGGGCCTCTCCAGAGCCCAAGCCCCAGTGGTCACCTGAGGGCCAGACCCTGCTGCTCCCATCTCTGATGCTGGCCCGACAGAGTGAAGGAGCTTTAAGTAGATGTGGGGGCTCTGGCACAGACCCCTTCGGGGCCAGCTACATAAGGGCTACTATAACAGCTGCTCCCTGGGGCTGAGGTCTCGGGAGAGGAGGAGGGCTTGTGGGGTCCTGAGCATCCTTCATGGGAGCTGAGCTCACTTCCTCACAGGGGATCCTCCAGTGGCTTCCAGACATAAGGATTTCCAGGGTACAGCTCAGCCCACATGGCCACAGCTTTCAGTGGCCTAAGAACCACTCTAGAGGGCTCCACTGCCAGCTTGCTGGCCCTGAGGACTGACCCCCTCCCGCCCCACCCTCCTCTAGATGTTCCAGGCTTTCACCAAGGCCCCTGCCGCCAAGACATGAGGAACCCATGTTCCCGAATGTGCCCCTTTACCCTGGCCCCTCTGGACCCTTGTGGGCAATGTGCACTGTTCCAAAGGTCTTGAGTCAAGAGGGAAGGAAGGGGAACAGAAAGCGGCTGGAGGGCAGGAGAGGGTGCATCTGTCAGGTGATGGAGACACAGGCGTGCATGAGGGGACAGGTAGAGAGAGGAGGAAGCATGGGAGCAGAAGGAGCAGGTAGAGGCAAGGCAGTGCTCTGGTGCAGGGCAGATGGTGTCAGGGTGTGAACTAGTGCAGGGTCCCCCCACACCTGCTGCAAACAGACAGGAAGTGGGTGCGGTTTCTGACACAGGTGAAATGGCCTCTCACTCACCAGCAGCAGCCTGGATCTGAGGGGTACTCCTCTGGGTGCCCTCAGGTGGCCAGCGCAGCTCCCCACTTTCCACAGCACCCATTTCAGTGGGTTCCACCACAATAGAGGGCAGTCGCTGGCAGAGCCGAGGGCCCTTCTCCCGGACGCCTACTGCAGCCTATACGGAGAGTGGGGAAGGCTCAGGGCAATACTGGGCCGTGGGCTCCTGGCCCCCTGCTCTTCGGCCCTCCACCTGCCCTACTAGGAAGGTCAAGAACAGGCAGGGTGAACAGTCCCTACCCCTTACCACCACTAGGGAATAAGGCACCAAGGGAACACCGTGGCACTCACCTGGGCTCAGACCCAGAGAAGCCCATTTCACAGACAGACCCTAAGACCACAGAGACCAAGTTACTCAGGAGGGAGCCCGGGACTGAGCACCCCAGCTGCTTCCAGTACCTGGACTCCAGCACACTTCCTTTCTGGGGGTTCCCCTGCTGGGTCCTTGGCCTCCTCCCTCCACAAGGCAGGCTGAGGAGCTAGGAAGACGTTGCCATGGCAATCAGAGCTGGCTCTCGCTCATTGTTCAGTGCCCACACGCCCTCTGGGTGCCCTCAGCATCTCCACATCCCATTCAAGGCTTTTCAAGGTCGAGGCTGTCTCACACAGCTCCATCCCTTGGTGCCCCAAGGTCTGACTTGCCTGTGCGGCTCCACCTCTGTGCCCTCCTGGAGTTCTGGCAAAGACCGATACCTAGTGTATGTGCGCCTTCCCATGGTGGCATGAGGGCCTTCAGGAAGGCAGGCACAGAGCAGGCAGGTTGTTACACTGGCCCTGGATGCCTGCTTAGAGCCACTGGGCACTGGTTCCCACACATGCTCTACCCAGGACCCTTTAGCCAAGTACTACAGTGACCCTGAGGTCTGAGAACAGGTGTCACCAGGCTGGGTCATCTGTGGAACAAAAGAACAGAAGTCCTCAGATGACAGCAGAGCAGGGACCCTTTCCTGCCCCCTAGCTGGGACCTCCTGGGGCTGACCCTGTATTGGCATTGCCAAATCAGGCCTCCTTGCCCATCCCGGCTCCCTCCTCACATGCCATTTTACTTCCTGCCCCTCAGCCGGGGGGTTCTGGCTGGAGGGTACCTACTATGGGAAGGTGGCCAGGCCAGTAGGACCTTCAGGGTAGCTGTGCCGATGAGCTCAGAGTCTAGGCTGCCTCTCCTTCACTGGCCCCACTGACCCAATCCAGCTCAGGAACAGAGACCCCAAGCTGCTCCTTTGTGCAGGGACTAGGTTCTCATTTTACTTTATTTCTGCAATGGGGTCTCTTGCCCCAGACTGGCCCGTAATCCACTGTGTAGCCAAGGCTGGTCTTGATCCTTCTGACTCACTTTCTAGACTACTAGGATTACAGGGGTGCATCAGTGCACCCCAGTATATTAAACATTTTGCTGCGTCAACATCCCTGACAAAAATTGGATCTGCAGGCACCCTAAAATTGTATCTACCATGACAGGCGGCGGTGGCTTGTGCCTTTAATCCCAGTACTCGGGAGGCAGAGATAGGAGATCATTGTGAGTTTGAGGCCAGTCTGGTCTACAGAGTGGTTCCAGAACAGCCAGGGCAGTTACACAGAGAAACACTGTCTCAAAAAACAAAACACACACAAAAATTGTATCACCCTGCAGAGAGCAAAGTGTAGTCATGTGCTTGGGGAATAAACCTTCACATTCCCAGGTCCAGAAGGAGCGCTAAGTAAGACAAGGTACCTTGCTTTCAATTGCTTTATCCACCAAATTTCTATAAAAATAGCAGTGGCGCTGGGCGGTGGTGGCGCACGCCTTTAATCCCAGCACTCGGGAGGCAGAGCCAGGCGGATCTCTGTGAGTTCGAGGCCAGCCTGGGCTACCAAGTGAGTTCCAGGAAAGGCGCAAAGCTACACAGAGAAATCCTGTCTCTAAAAATAAATAAATAAACAAACAAAAATAGCAGTGGCCTCCCCAAATAGAAGGGTAAACTGAGGCTAGCAGAGATGGCAGGCATATCTGAAGTCATAGGCTAGAGCTTGAGGCTGGCTCCCCCTGGTCTCCCATCTCTTCAACCACTTACCTTCCCTGCTGGGCCTCTGGCGCCCTCTGTAGGACTCTCCGATGAAGCTGACTGCAGAGTGCTCATGCTGATGCCGATGCCGGGCTACAGAAAGACAAGAGCAGAAACGAGGTGTCCACTGCAGCCAGTGTGAGCTGGCCTCCTCCTCCGGGAACTCACCCCACCCCAGCCTCACCTGGCCCAAAGCTCACAGCTTAGGCCTGATCTTTGTTATGCTGCTCCCTCAGAGGAAGAGCAGGGACAGCTGCCATACAGTGCCCAGGGCTGTAGAGAAGTGTGGCAAGAGAGGGAGAGATTGACCCAGCCTTGAGAGCCAGGAAGGCTTCCTGGAGGAAGATCAGCTGGCCTGAGGCCTCCCTAAGGGATGAACAGCAGGCTGTCAGGGCAGCAGAAGGAAAGATTGGTGTGCCGAGGCAGGGGACAGCAAAGAACACAGCAGACCTGAGGACCCAAACAGGTTTCAGAGTCAGGAGGCTGGGACCACCTGGGACTCCAAGGTGCCCAGTTCCCCCCCAAGAACACCCCTTCACCCACAGACCCCTGGGCCATGCCCTGAGGGCCTATCACCAGAGGGAGGCCGACATCTTGCCTGAACACGGCCATGCCTACCCAGGCAAGGCACGGGATGGAAAGACTAGGTCAGAGCCTCCACAGTGAGGACAGTAGAAAGAGAGTCCCTGCCAGAAATCATAGGCCCACCCTCAGACCTTCCCCAGCAATGCAGCAGGGTAGGTTCTTGGGGCCCAGCCTAGGCCAGAGGAAGAAATGAGGGTGGGGTCTAACAGGCACTGGCCAGATTTTAGACAGGCAGCACAGGGCCGCAGGCTAGAGGCCGGGGAGCTGGAAGAAGATAGGGCCAAGGCAAAATAGTGAACCCCCAGGATGGAATGTCTGAGACACCCTCCAGGAGGCAGGTACTTGGAGGGGGGCGGGAGGCGGAGGAAACGCTCTTAGCAAGGTCAACTGCTAGTCTGGGAAATGAGGCTCCTTTTACCAAATGTCCACCTCGGTCAGCTCAAGTTCCATGGAATCCCAGGGAAGTCTGGAAGGGGGACACGTGCCTGTGATGGGCATCCCCGGGCAGTAAGCAGCCACGTCCTAGCCACTAGTGCCTCTGTCCCAGAGCCCATGGGATGCCCTGTGAACTGCTGCTCCCAGCTCTGAGACCCTCTTAGGATCCTGCATACCTCCGAGTTCTGGGAACTTCGGCTAAGCCCAGAACAGAGACCCAAAGATGTCTCAGAGACATTCGGAAAAAGAGGGAGGGAGAGTGGCCCCAGAGGCCAAGCAAAGAGGGGCAGAGCTAACGAGTGAAAGGAGGAAGGTCGTTCCAGGGGAAAATCTGGGGAGCCAAGACAGCATCAAGGATGGAGCTACCATGGGGCGGCGAGCTGAGGGCAAGTGCCACAGGCTGTCTTGCTCTTGCCCAGTGCCTGGTGTCCGAAGCCACGGCTGCGAGTGCCGCCCACACTTCCATCCGCTCTGGGGTGCGGGAGGGCCAGGTGTGGTGGACCGCAGGCAGTAGGGGGCCTCTTGGTCCAGAGCCCCGCGTTAGATTGCCAAGGGGGACCGTGGGACCCACGCCCGTCCCTTCCGCGGGGCGCTCCCACTAACTCCTTACTGCACTCGCCCTCCTCCCCACGCACCCGCCCCTGGCTGCCAAGGTGCACCTTGGACGGACCCCTGAGGGTGAGGGTGGGGAGGGGGCGTTGCGCCTCCCGCACACTCACCGACACTCACCGCTGGCGCTTGCGGGGCCTCCACGCTGGCTCGGGAGCTCTCCTCCCTCGATCCTCCTCCGAGCTCTCCGCCCACACACGCGCTCGCAGCCAGCCCCTCATTCACACTCCCGCCCTCTGCTCTGCAGGGCCACCGGAAGGACCTGGCCTCCACCTCCCTAGACACCACCCTATTGCCAGAACCTGGTCCTGGCCACTTCAGATCTCCTCCCCCAATCTCAAGATTAGAATGTGAGGTGTAGCGTCACGTGGAGCCAGATAGGTAAGGAGGGGATTTTCTCCAACCAGGCACCTGAAAGGGAAGTGGAAAGGGGAGGAAGTGGGGCAGCTTGGGATTGTTCCCCATTCCCTCTCACATATTCGTCCCCAGTCCCATTCCTCAGAAGGTGCTAAATAGTCCGGGACAGTTGGTCTGGTGAGCAACTCTGACACCCAAGGCCATAGTGCATCATCCCTACACACGTAATCCACATAATTCCCCTTCTAGGATCCACTGTGGACTCTCAAACGTCCCAGTTCTCTCAGAGACCCGCAACCAATGTCCACATCTACTTATCCAAATCATCTCACACCCAACCATTGAACAGCAGCCATCATCTACCACCAACCACCCAACGTCCACCCTATGGGCAATCCACCGTTACCTTCCAAGTACCACCCACCCATTCTCCGGCCATCACTCAATCACCATCCACCGGCTAACATCCACTCACTACCACCTATCACACAGCTACTCTACTACATCCCCCACATATTCATCCTATCATTGCATCCAACATCCATCCCTCACTAGTCACCCAACCACCTTGTAATTCATCCATCCATCTTCTTTCCATGTATTTATTCATCTACTATCCTGATTATCCATCAATCAATACCTATTAACTATGAACACCACATCATCACCACACCCCATCCAACTACTGTGCACCTGTGTGTTCACCATCCATATGCAATTTACTAAACATCAACATGCTATGAAACACCTATCCAACAGACACTCATTTACATCCATTTATCATCTCTCCAGAAGTATTCAATGCTACAGGTTTCCATCAAATAACAACTTCATGCATCCATGTACCACTTACTAACTTCAATCATCAGTCTATTATCTGTTTACTATCCATGTGTCCTGAGCTTTCTACTAGCCTCTCTCTAATCAGCCGCAATTCATTACCTATAGTCAGTCATCAATTATCATCCATATTTATATGAACTGCACTCCACCTCCATCCATCCACCCATGACATTATCCTCGTCTATCACATGTCTACCTGTTCAGTATCCATCTCACAGTACTCACCCATCCATTATCTGTCATAATTCACTATTAATCCCAAATCTATCCAAGTAGCATTGACCATCTACCACTTTTCTATCCTAGGAAATTTCATTGAGTTCCACCTCTGTGTCAAACATTGTTGAAGGCACTGGGGATAGAGCAGAAGCAGTGAGCATTCGTCTACCATTGTTCCTCCCAACGAGCCATCTAGTCACTACCCACACATCGTCTCCCATCTGGTAGTATTATTTGATATTTACCTTCAGGGATCTCTCGTTATTCACCTACCATTGCCATCTTACATTAAATTATCCACTTACTATATACTGCTTCCAGCCATCTAGCCAGCCACCATCACCTCACTTTCATGACCATTCAACTTTCATGAGTCCATTTTCCAGGATGTAGTTATCAACTGTTTAAGCTTTCTCCATTCACATGGCCATCATCACCCTATCCTGAGTCCACCCATTCATTATTCACTCCCCACCATCCATCTACACTCAACCTGTTATCCTTCCAGCTAACAACCATTTATTTGCCATTTATGATGGTTAGTCTTGGTTGTAAACCTAATAGGATCTGGAACAACTGGAAGGCAGGTTTCTGGGCACAACTGTGAGGGGTTTTCTTGATTAGGTTGAAAGATCCACCCAAAGTGTAGACGGTAGTTTTTGGTGGTGGCCCAAGTACAAGGAGGTTTCGGGGGAGTTTCTGCCTGGTCGCCTTCACTTCCCACTGGGGAACTCATGCACTTTGTTGCTGCTACTGGCGTGGTTGTTGCCATTTTCACTGACATCAGAACCCAACTTCTTCAGCCTCTCATTGGACTGAAGACCAATGGCTCCCCAGGAATTCTCCAGGTCTTCAGAACCAGATTAGGACTGCTGGGGTATCCAGCCTCAGGGAGTGAACAGCCCGTTTGCAGTCTCTCTTGTGTGAAGATGACCACTGTTGGACTTCCCAAACTGTATCAGGTAAGCTAATTGGATAAATCCCCCTTTAATATATGTTCATTCTCTTGTTCTGCTCCTCTCGAGAACTCTAACACACCATTTATTTCCCATCCATGCCCCTCCATCTTCCATCTGACATGCTCTTGTCCATCACTCATGATCCATCCATCCATCCATCCATCCATCCATCCATCCATCAATCCTGTACCCATCCACATTTCCACTTAATTTATTTGAATAGACCCATCATAACCAACTTGCTAATTATCCACTGTGCATCTATACCTTATGATTTATCTACCAGATGTCTACCATCTGTCATCTGTTGCCTACAGTCTACCTGTTATCTATAAAGTCATTCACTATCTACCCATTGACTCTTCATCCTATCCAACCCATCCTCTATCTATCTACAATGCATCTATTCATCACTGCCCAGCCATCTACCTTCTACAGATACTCCTTCCCTCCCCATCCATTCACCATGGCAGCACAACCAGAAGTTTTGGTTCCAGTGCCTGCCTAACCACTGTGCACACATCCCACTTACATCATTCTACCATTGTATCCAGCATTCACCCCTCCACTCGTCACCAGCCACACAGTAATTCACCCTACCCAGCATACTTCCATGTAGTCATCTATGACCTTTACATTATTGATAATGTACATCTATTTTCACCTCTCTCTTTACACCTTTTCCATAATTAACATTCTTTTCCTCACTCATTCATAAGCCAAACATTCACTTATTGATAACTATTAAAATTGTTGTGGAGAGATGGCTCAGCAGTTAAGAGCATTTGTTGTTCTTACAGAGGACCCAGGTTCAATTCCCAGCACCCGAGGATACCAGGCATACACATGGTGCACAGACATACATTCAAGCAAAACACTCATACACATAAAATAAAACAAATTGATCTCTAAGAAAAATTCAATATAAAAAACATTCATTGTTCAGTGCAAAATCATCAAGATCTATAAGAATCTATCTAAATTCATGGTCCTATGATCCACAAAGAGCCAACAAGTCAGCGAGAGGAGTGTTGGCATACAAACATGCACTTAGGGGCCGATAGATGGCTCAGTGGGAGCGTGCACTGCTCTTGCAAAGAACCCCACTTCTGGTACCAAAACCCACATCAGGTGGCTCATGACCACTTGAAACTCCAGCTCCAGGGGCTCTGACACCTTCTTCTGGTGCCATGGAAACTCGTACTCCTGGGCACACAGCCACACATTCATACGTGTAATTAAAAATAAAAATAAGGGCTGGGGATGTAGCTCAGCGGTAGAGCACTTGCCTAGCAAGCGCAAGGCCCTGGGTTCGATCCTCAGCTCCAAAAATAAATGAATGAATGAATGAATGAATAAATAAATCTTTAAAAATGTACTTTGCCCTGAGGTGTCAGTGCCTCCATCTCTTGGGTACAGGGCAGGTGAAGCTTGTTGCCTGAGTTCCCTGGGAGGAGGAGTGGGAAGGAGTCATCACAGTGGAGTCTGCAGAGGCCTGGCCTGTTCCTGCAGCCTGGGAGACCGTGTGATGTGATTCGGAGGAGTAAGACCAGACAAGGAGGTGGCAGAGGTCCTGCCAGTGGGACTTGGGGATCAGCCTCCGATTTGGGGGCAACAGAGAGCTCCAGCGGGGCTTTAGGGAGGCAAGTTCTTAGAAAGGACCACCTACCTACGCACACCCCTCCTCTCCAGACAGAGGGGTCCAAAGGTCAGGACCAAAGGATCACATGCTTGGTGATCAGCTGCCAGGGCCATTGCCCACTGTGGCTTCAGCTGAACCATAACCTCCCAGCAGGAAATGTTCTGTGCAGACACACCCCTCCCGCGGCTCCATCCTCCCCATCCTCCTTCCCACCCGGGCAGGAATTGCTCACCCTGCTTATTAGTGCAGGTGTTAACTGCCACCTGAAGTGTTAGCTGTCATCCAAGGTGTTAGCTAACACGAGGCTCCGGCTGGGGTTTGGTCCTGATAGAGCTCTCTGGAAGTGCTCAAGGCTTTGAGGTATGTGCTATGCTGTAATGGATGGGGGTAGGGAGTGTCTGTAAAGACAGGACAGGGCCCAGAGCTTCCTACAAAGTCATCTTGAGGCCTCGCTTTGCTTTTGTCTCAAATTCTAGGTCTTTCCCACCTTCATGCCTCTACTTGGGGACTTCTCCACAGAAAAAGGCAAAGCTGACACCAGGAGCGTTGTGTTTGGTCATCCGAGGGAACCCGTGTCACTCCCTGGGCCTCCCTGTTGGTGCCAACGGAGTAAGGGATGGTGGATGAATGAAGGTAAAAATTGAGTACCTCTTAATGTGGGAAGACAGCTGCGGGCAGGTGCCAGCTTTGGACCTGATGGTTTGCTCTTGTCGCCCTCTGGTGGCTACTCGAAGCATTGGCGAGTCTCAACAGGAACGTTTTTTACAGGACACTATAAACTCTATGGTCCAGCATTTTGACCTCATGTACTGATCATCTGTGAGAAGACAAGTTCAGGACTGACCATTGACCTTGATGGGCTGGCAGGCAGACTTCTAAAAAAATATATCTAAAAGAATTTTATTATTTTTTTTAAATGTAAGCGGATATTTTGCCTGCATATATGCTTGAGCCCTATGAGCATGCCTGGTACCTGAGAGGCCAGAAGAGGGTGTCCGATCCCCTGGGATTGGAGTCATAGATGGTTTTGAGCTGCTACATGGTTGCTGGGAATTGAACCTGTGTCTTCTGGAAGAGCAGCCAGCATTCTTAACCGCTGAGCCATCTTTCCAGCCTCAGAAGTTTTGTTTTTTTTAAGACTTTGTGTGTGTGTGTGTGTGTGTGTGTGTGTGTGTGTGTGTGTGTGTGTGTATTTGAGTGTATGCATGACCCAGAAGAGGGTGTTGGATCCCTTGGAACTGGAGTTACAGTGTTTGAAGGATGCCTGGCTTACGACTTTTTAGACATGTGGTAGGATTTGAACTTTGGTTCTCATGATTGTGCTTCAAGCGCTCTTACCCACTGAGTGGTCTTTCCAGCCCCACAGTGCTTTCTGAGAACTCTGCCCTAGACAGTGGCTGCCAGCCTGCAGCTGGGAAGTTCCCCATCCCCCCCCCCCCCACATACACACACACACTCCTACCCTACTAAATGTCAGCTCATGTCCACAAAGGTAGGACAGTCCTTCTCCAGGGCCTATTGGTAAATGAACAGTAATTGTCATGAGACACCTTGGGTAACCCAGTTTGAAATGTATGCAGTTTATGTATGTTTTTATAACGTAGGAATGTTCTGGAAAATTACTCTGAAATTCTGGCCAACCAAACAGCACTTCCTGTGTGGCAGGCTTTGTCTGTAACTAAAATCTTTGAGATAGGTTCCCTTAATCATGAAACCCCGGTGAGAATGACATGATACACCACGTCGTAGAAGAAGAAATTAAGCATGAAGAGGTTGAGAAAGCTGTGTGGGGTCCCAGAGCTGTAGGAGAGATGGAGCTTGGATTAGAGTGGGCGGGTGTCTTGCTCTGTTCCTCTCGAGGCTGTCTCTAAATAACGGGCATGCACATCTCTTTCAGTAATTGGAAATTGTCCAGCCACACCTCAATGGAGGTGGGAGGACCTGCCCTCCTCCCCACAGGGCTAGGGATGGGAGCTGTTAGCTCTCAGAGAGGGTGAGTGGCCTGCCTCAGGGTGAACAGCTGGAAATGCTGAACTTGAGTTTTCCAGGTCTTTTCTACCTACCCGGAGCAGGAGAGCTAAGGCATTCTCCCTCTCCATGAGCCAAAGCAGACATCAGACGCTGCCCACCATCACAGCCTGGAGTTTAACAGATTCTCTGGTTGACAGAGTCTGCACTCTAAAAGCCCCCATTTGAAATTCCCTGCGCACCTAGAGGCAGAGCCCGTGACCAAAGCCAGTCAGGTGGGGAGTACTGCCACTCCCTGCTCTGGCAGGGAGTGCAGGTGGGGGCAGGACAAGGCTCAAAGCCTTGGTCTCACTTCATGCCAAGGGGAGGGGCCCTCCAGTCCCCTGCACCCCAAGGTGGCCATGAAGAACGGATGCCCACAGTATGACTGACATGACTGCTGGATGCGCTCTACAGACACCTGGGCACGCATTCTCCCAACAGCGCCAGCCCCCCATCCCGCCCTACCTTTCGGGTGACTCAGTTGCATAGGCCAGCATTTCCTCCAGTAGTCTATCCTGCAGCACACCACAACACTATTGGATAGCACCCCAACACAGCATCCCCCCCAGGTGTGGGCATTCTGGGCAGGTGAGGGTGCAGGAGCCAAGGTAGGAGGGGCAGCCTGCTCAGCCTCAGACTCCCCATGGTGGGAAAATGAAGGGGTGTCTGCCTGCATAGCCCTAAAAGACTGGTTTGGGGAACTGGTCCTCTGAACTCTGCTGAGAATCATTCAGATGGTAATAATAATGTTGACATGGATGTGGACACCACACCCACTACATCATCTCCCTTCTCTTCCAGCCTTGTGACATGTCAGCCTGATTAGTTCTGTTGTCCAACTTGACACATCTGGAAAGAGGGAACCTCCACTGAAGGATGGCCTCCCTTGGACTGGCCTGTGGGCATGTCTGTGTGTGTGTGTGTTGGGGGGCAGGTTCTTTCTTTGTGTAGCCCTGGTTGCCCTGGAGCTTGCTATGTAGACAAGGCTAGCCTCAAACTCACAGAAATCCGTCTGCCTTTGCCTCTTGGTTGCTGGGATTCAAGATGTCTGGCTCGTGTAGGGCATTTTCTTGATTACTGATTAATATGGGAGGGCCCAACCCGCTGCAAGCAGTGCCACCCCGGGCAAGTGGTTCTAGGTTATGTGTGTAAGCAAGCCGAGCAGCCTGTAAGTGGCGTTCTTCCGTGGCTTGTGCTTCCTGCCCTGACTGACTTCTGTCAGTGCTAAACTGGCCTGGGAGTTGTAAGACGAAGTAAACCCATTCCTCCCCTAAGTGGGTTTTCGTCAGGGTTTCTTTTTTCTTTTTAGACTTGTTTACTTTCACTTTATGTGTGTGGCTCTTTCACCACATGTGTATCCGTGCATCACATGCATGCCTGGTGCACACAGAAGGCAGAAGAGGGGCTCGAATCCCCTAGAACCCAAGTTAGAGAGTGTTGTGAACTTTTTGTGGGTGCTGGGAATCAAATCGGAGTCCTCTGGAAGAGCAGCTAGTACTCTTAACTGCTGAGCCACCTCTCCAGCCCCGGCCAATGTTTTATACAGCGTCATAGAAAGCAAACTAGATCAGATGGTGACTGACCCACTCCCTGAGCAGATCAGATGGTGACTGACCCACTCCCTGAGCAGATGAGGAACAACCTGCTAATCCTCTCCCCTGTGGAGCAATGTCCAGACTAGCTGGTCCCAGAGACTCTCCCTCTGTTCTCATTTAGGACTGGAGTGCTGCTATGGTTAGGATTTTGGAGCCTAGTGGAAAAAAGTTAGGCCATCGGGGGTGTGCTTTCAAAGAAGAGCTGGGGTTCTGGCCCCTCCCTGTCACTCTGATACCTGGATCCCTTGAAGTGAGGATGTCTGCTCTACTCCTCCCCCACGAATTACACACTACCACCATGATATGTTGTGCAGCTACAGTCCTAAAACAATATTACCAAGTCACCTTGACTGAGCCCTCTGAAGCTGTGAGCTAAAATGAAGCTCTCCCCATCTGAAATCAACTATCTCAGGGATTTGTCACACTGAGCCCACCTAAAGAACACAGGTAGGAAAGTGGAAAGAGGTATGTATTCACAGCCCGACAGTAGAGCGCTGGGGGGATGCTCTACAGAGCCTGCTGGCTCAGGCAATAAGGCAGAGGTCAAGACAGGTTCTCAACCCAAGGCTGCAGCAGGATCCCTGACCTTCCCATAGGGTTCCGGGTTAGTAGGTTTGGGGTCTATGTCTAACAAGTTTCCAGGTGCTGCTGCTGGTCCTACTGGAGACCACACTGAGAAGTACAAGTTGAAGGGAAGCCAGAAGACAACGATGTCCTCATCCTGCCCCTCCCGGGTCTCAGAGGTCCACATCTCAGGCAGTATACGCCAGCCTTGTAGCCCGTGGGGACTCCCAGGCCTCTGCTAGCCATAAAAGCTTAGATAAAGGTCCTGCTCCTCCTCTGATTATGTACCCCTAGAGGGCCTCTTGCCCATCGGAGCCTCCTTCCTTATCTGCATATTGTGGAGGAGAGAAGGCTGTGTGCCAGTCAGAGAGAGAGACCATGAGGCCAGAGATTAGCCTCTTTTGGTAGGAACCACCCTGCAGCTTGGGGGGAGGTGGAGTTCTGTCATGGGCCAGGCTACCTGGGCTCCAGACCGGCAGAGGCTTCCCCTCTCCAAACGCCAGCTCGCTCTTCTGATAGGGAGGCAGACCCTCCCTTGTCCCTTCGGTTCTCAGGCAGGTAGGAGTGGGGCCTGCCGAGCACTGAGCACACAATGTCTGCAGCCAGGAAGAGAAATCCTTGACCTAAATGCCAGCTGGCCTCAGAACTCCCTGTCATCCCTGAGCGAGCAGGAGCTACGGAAGGTTTCAGAGCAAGGTTGGGGGGTAGTCAGTGCCAACTTTTCTGAAAATGCCTCTGGTGGTCAGTGGGAGATGGTCAGGCCGCCAGGAAGGGGAGTGTGGGCAGTCAGGGCTTTGCACAGGCCGTGATGGTCAGCATCCCCTGTCCCTGCCCTCTTCTTGCTGCTGTGACAAGCTGCCGTGTGTGACTCTAGGGTTATCTGTGAGGACTGTGCCCACTGTGACTATGGACTGAACCTATGAACTCCCAGAAGCTTCGCAGATTGTGGCAGAGAGGCAGTCTCCTCTTCCCCTGGCGAATGAGGAGCTGGGGGCCTCAGGGAGCTCTCGTGCAGCTCCAAAGTGTCCTGGGTAGGCAGCTTCTGGCATTGCTGGGCTTGCACTGTTAGATGCCAGAAGCCTTGGCGGGCTGCAGAGCACTTTCCCGGAAGATATGGAAGAAGGGTTAGGAGGGGCTTGTGTGCAGTCTAAATCAGTGTGGCCAGAAACGGATGGTAGTGTATTTGCAGGGGACAACGTAGGTCACGGGGTGGTCCAACCCCGGAGACCACCCTCTCCTGGATGGAAGAGGTGAAGGAAGCAGCGGAAGGTGGGATCCAGAATGGAGAGGGTCACCTCCCCTTGGCTTCCTGGAGAGGGGAGTAACATTTGGTCAGGGCAGTGTCAGGTGCCAATGGCAAGGAAGAAGCCTGGAAGACAAATGCCCTTCTTGTCTCCTTCTTTCCCCTAGATGCCCATCAAACTCTGCATTACCTGAAACCACAGGCCAGATAGCTGGCCCAGA